GATTTTTGTTCTGGTTGTCTAGGTTGTGAAAATATGGATTGCCCATGAGGTTGTTGTGATTGTTATAGCGATGGTTCGCGAGGTTGGAGAGGAAGTGATGGAAAAATAAAAAAAGGTGCGTTTCGCGGCAAAATAAAACAATTATCATTCCCTCAAAAACAGAGGCTACATTGAGAAAAAATGAAAATGAGAGTTGAGGACATGATTGAGAAAATTAAAGACCACGAAGACACTGATGACATGCTAACCGCCAAAAGGATTGAGGATGTTAAGCGGTGAAGTAGGCAAGAGAAAGCAAGAATAATAAATGACTTAACCGAAGAAGAATTAAAGAATTTACTTAAAAAATTCCAAAAAACTAAACCAAAAGGCAATGAATAACAACCAAGAGAAGCAAAAATGTTCTAGACCAAGTTGTGAGGGAAAAATGACTGAAAAAGAAGTTTACCATGATACTTCCCTATCGATGCTTTTAATGAGACTAGTTTCTCTATTAAAGTTTGTGATAATGAGAACTGCGGAGTAAGAAAAAGCAAATTGGAAGAATGCGACTATTGAAAAAAACTTTCTGATGAATTAGGAGTATTTGATTTAAAATATTGAAGTTTAAGATATAGCCGAAGCGACGGCTGCTTTTGAGTTATAGTTAGAGATATCCAAGAAGATGGAGTGGAGTAAGGAACCCCCAAGCATGTTTGAAAAGAACCGATCAGTTCTAATGCTATTGGCGAGGCATTTAATACCCAACTAGCCGATTATAAATTTAGAGAATTGATTACCAAAAGCCTAAAACTAATAGCGGTAGAGATTAAAAAAATTCGCGAGAGAGAAAAGAAAGAACCAAAAGAAAACTAAAAGGACAAAATCTAAATTATATGAATGAGCAACTAGCCGAAAAGAAAAAAATAATTAACTGTCTCTACTCTCACTTCAAAGACAATGCCCAGAAATTAAAAATAGTCTGTGATTGGGACGAAGTAATTCAACCCCATGAACCTTATGCTTTATGAAAAGCAATTGACAATCCCACAGATAAAGATTTTTCTCAATTTTTTAAAGATTGCTGGGATGAAAAAATAATTGAATATTCTCCTTATGGCTCCCGCTTGATACCTAGCAACCTTTTTACCAAAGAACAATTAGAAATCAAAAACTCTCCCGAATTCTATCAAAAAGCACCATTCTTAACTATTGCCAAAGAATTATTAAAATTAGTCCGAGAAAACAAAGTAAAACAAATCATTTTCCTTTCTGCCTATGATAAAAGAAAATTCCCTAACGGAGACCCCAGAAAAAAGCAAATATTTAAAGAAACTTTCGGTAAATTTTCATTCTGTTCTTTGGAATTGATCGGTTTCGATAGTGAGGGTAAAGGAGCCAATAAAGCCGACTGAATAAAAGAAAATGCCTCGGATTTTGATATTGTGATTGATGATAATCCTAGTATTTGTAAAAACATAGCAGAAAGCATTCCTAATGTTATTGTCTGCGCTCCTCATTATCCGGCCATAGAAAATCAGCATCAGGAAAAGGTATTGATGATAAAAACTAGCGTTAGCGATTTGAAGAAAGAAGATTTTAAAATTGATAATTACTGAAGGGGTAGATGTCATGCCTGTGGTTTGAAAAAAACTTCTGAGCAACTAACTATGAATAATGGAAGTGTTTGCCAAACTTGTGTTGATGAAGACTTAGCCAATTATGAAAAGGACAAAAAAGAGGGAAGGATTAACGATGCGGTCATTTTTTGCCAAGATTGTCAATCTCAATACCGACAAAAAAGAGAAGAAGGAAAAATTGGAGTTAACCCTCATAAATTAACTAATCAGCACGATAGGGCAATGGAATTACATGAAGGAGAACCCTATATAATTCATGCTATGATTTTAACTGAATGAGAGTGTAAGTGTCCGAATAAAAGACCAATCATCACTACTGGAATAGATTATAGCAACTGAGCGGAGGGATTTATTGATGAAAAAAATGAGGGAGAGTGACAGTGTTGTCCTCCTGACAAAAGAGAGAATTAAAAGTATAATGAAAAGAACCTAAGGAAGATGAAATGCTTAGCATAATGAACCACCTCCTCCACAACTTCTTTAATTCGATAACATTTAAAAATAACTTATAATAACAATTAATTATGGCACAAAACGGTAACAAACTATCCGGTAAATTAGAACTCAATTGAGTTAACAAAAACAAAACTCTAATTGTTAAAGACTATGACAAAGGTCAATATGAATGAGTAGCACCGAATGATTATCGGGTTTCGGAAGTCAGATTATTAAAAGAAATGGAGAAAGTTGGCGATAATTCTAGCGATAACCTAATAAATTTGTGGCGATAGTTTACATGCCTTAACTAGTTTAAATAAAATCCCCGAGTATCGGCAAAAGTATGTGAATAAAGTCAAGTTAATTTATATTGACCCGCCTTTTAATACCGGGCAAATGTTTACCAATTATGACGACCAATTAGAGCATTCAGTTTGATTAACCATGATGCGGGATAGAGTGCTAAAAGCCTATGAATTATTAAGCGATGATGGCTCTTTATGGGTTCATTTAGACGATACCGAATTATACCATTTTAAACTGGTTTTGGATGAAATTTTTGGGAAAGAAAATTTTGTGGCTAATATAATTTGAGAAAAATCGTATGCTCCGCGAAATGACGCAAAATTTTTTAGTTGCGACCAAGATTATATTTTGGTTTATGCCAAAGATAATGAAAAGTTTAAAATAAATCGTCTGGCAAGAACCGAAAAGCAGAATAAAACTTATAAAAACCCTGATAATGACCCGCGCGGACCATGAACTTCTGGCGATTTGGGAGTGAAGACAGTTGTCCCGAAGAATGTGTATCCTATAAAAACTCCTTCTGGGAGGGAAGTTTATCCTTCTAGTTGTTGAGGAGTGTCAAAAGAAAGATTTGAAGAACTAGTTGCCGATAATAGGATTTGATGGGGAAAAGACGGAGATGGGATGCCTCGCATAAAAAGATTTTTAAATGAAGTTCAAAATATAGTTCCGCAAACATTATGAAATCACGAGGAAGTGGGACACAACGATGAAGCCAAAAAAGAGATTAAAAAAATGTTTCCGGAAATTGAGCCATTTTCCACTCCTAAACCCGAAAGACTTCTCCAAAGAATTATCCAAATTGCCACTAATGAAGAAGATATTGTATTAGATTATTTTGCTGGTTCCGGCACAACAGCAGCCGTGTCTCAAAAATTAAAGAGAAAGTGAGTTATTGTTGAAAAAAATGAAGATACAGTTAATAATTTTGCGGCTCCCCGTTTGAAAAAAGTTATTTTAGGTGAGGATAAAGGCGGAATTAGTGAGGAGGTTAATTGAACTGGTGGCGGTGGATTTACTTATTTTTCAGTGGAAAAGTCTATGTTCGATACTCGCTTTAGGATAATTTGTTTAGCCGAAAATGTTTTAAATGGTAAATTGGCAAAATTAGTTGCGACCCAGTTAGAGTATGATTACCAGCCGGAAAGTGAATATTTTTGCGGGAAAAAAGGCGATACTTTATTAGCGGTGGTGGAAGGCATGTTAACCGATGGATTGCTTAATTTCTTGCTGAACTCAAAAGAGAAAAACAAGTTTTTAGAGATTGCGGCGTTGGCGGTAGACCCTGATTTAGAAAGTAAAAATTATAATAATGTTAAAGTTGGGAAGATACCGAATAATATTTTACGGCATTATGCGAGGATTTAAAAAAATATGAAAAAAAAAGTAGAAATCACTATAAACATAAAACAAGTTCTTAACTTAAAGGATTTAAAATTTAAATTGATAAGAAATGGAATAAACATAATTGTGGGTCAAAACAATGTCGGAAAAACTAAATTATTAGATTATCTTTATCATGAAAATGAACAGTGAGACGGATTAAATGAGGAATACAGCAATGGTTATTACAAGTCTTTACCAATATTTTTTGGAGGATATGTAGGAGAATCTGAAGAATATCTTCCTGTTTGTAAGCCAGATCATAAACACTTTAAAGAAAAAACTAAAATAGGAGATATAGAATGTTCTTATGAGTTGTATTACTTTGATTTAAAATCAAGTGTCTTTTCGTTTCTTGATAAATTTAGGAAACAGAATTCAACTAAAAAGGAAGTTAAGTTTGAAAACATAAAAGGTCGATCGTGCCATGTATATTACACCGAGGAAAATACACACAGAGGATTTGGTTCCTTGAAAAGCGTAGTCATGGAAAATTTTAAAGATACTGAAAAATTAACTCCTTTGATACTTGAATATAAAGACAAAAAAGGCAATTTTGATATGGATGCAGAACACGGAACTAGGGGACGCAACTCAGGAATGAAAATTTCTCACTCGCTAACTAGTACGGGATCAGGACTTTTAAAATACAAAAGTTTAGAGTCTCTTTCTAATCAAATCATAAAAAAATATGAAAACAGAATTGAAAAAATGGGTAGAATGATACCTTTTCGCTATTCAGAATGGGAAATTTTTGTTCCGATGTTGATAGTTGATGAGCCAGAATTATTGCTTCATCCTTTGCTGGTTAACGCTGTGGCTGACTTAATTAAGGAAATTGAACAGAATAACATTGCCACAGTTATGACAACCCATTCACCAACCTTTTTGTCTCATTTTATCCATGACGACAGCCTGAATTTAATAATAATGCAGAAAGATCCTAACGGTAATTTAGAACGACCTCTTTTTTTTTGAGAAATAATAAAAAAAATTGAAAAAGAAATTAAAGAGGAATATGAGTATTTTGCTAGACGTAGTGAAAAAATTAACCAACAAAATTTTTATATAAGCAAATGAAAAAGGCTACTTGATGAAGAAACATTAAAGATTTTATTCAGTAGACAAATTCTTTTTGTTGAAGGAATGACCGAATATATTTTGTTTAATAGTATTCTCAGAGAAAAACTAAATAAGGAAATGAAAAATAGAGAAATTGAAATAGTGCCTATTTTCGGCAAGTATCAATACATTTTTTTCGCTAGTCTTGCCAGAGAACTAAGAGCAGAATTCTGATTTCTTTTAGATGATGACCGAAGAAAAGAAGTAGAAAAGGGGCAAAATGAATGAATGGGAGAAGAAAAGGGCAAGTTTAACAAAAAATTTTGGGAAAACTACGGGGAAGGAAAAAGTAACGAAGAATTTGCCGGAATTACCCGCAGCAACGATACAAAAATCAATTGAATTCACCAAGACATAGAAAACTTTCTTGGTATTCCACTGCCAAAAGAGGACAAAAAAAATAAAGAATACAATCTTATCAGCAGAGCAAACGAGATATCTGATAACTTAGAAAAAGAACCAAAGAAACTTGAAAGTTTGAAAAAAATTATTTCTTCTTTCAGAACAAGAGAAGAAAACGAATAAAGATATTTTTTATGAAAAAAGCAATAATTAACGAAGAAGAAGCAAAAAAAGAAATACAAGAATTTATTGATAACTCAGATTTTT